GCTTCACAGCCTTTAGGATAAGTCTGTCACACTGGTTGTTGGTAGAAATACCATCTCTGAATAAAGTTAATCAGTTGTGCATGTGCTTCCATAACTAAACTCCCAGGCTACGTTGCATCATCCCTATATTTCATTCACATACTGCCAGGATATTGTGTTCTGGGTTAAATTTGAGAGGTGCAGGTTGATTTTATTCATTCTTTATGTTTTAGGTAAACATGGGCAAATCTCTTGTATTTTCCTGTGTCCTGTGAATGAAGTACTAGATCTTAATTTTCCATTTTGTGTCCACATTTGTATTGAAAATTTTCAGTACAAAATCATGGGTAATCACCCATGATCAGACATCAAACTGGAGATGTTTCCATACAAGAATATATTTGGTATGTGTCACACCAGAGAGAATTGTAGGTAGTGGTTTTAACTAATGCAAGAATGAGAAAAGTGAAAGCAGTTCTTTTGAAGGGATACGAATGAATGTTATGAAGAATGAGGAAAAACTACCAGGGCTGAGACATTTTTTTGTAAATGAAGTGCTAACTTTCTGGCCAGAGCAGGTTAGTTCATTTTGGTATTTGGAAAAAAATGCATGTCATGGTCTCTCTCATGCCACAGGTTGTCTGCTATGGACTGAGCATAGTGCTTCTTGGTCAAATCAGGGTTACCGAATCTTCACTAAGAGAGGGGGAGGCACTGGAACAGCTGAGAACTGGCGAATATTCCATCCCTGGAAGTGTTCAAGGCCAGGTTTCACAGGGCTTTGAGAACCAGGTCTAGTAGAAGGCATCCCTGCCCATAGCAGGAAGGTTGGAACTAGATGATCTTAAAGGTCTCTTCCAACCTAAACCATTCCATGAGTTTATGATTCTATAGATGTGTCAGACTTTGCCTGGAGAATGAGGTCATTATAAATCATAAAGAATTCTGGACTCTATCTAATGCTATGCTCTGACTATTCTGATTTTAGGAAATAATTCTTCACCAAAAGTGTTATCAAGCTTGGAGCAGGCTGCCTGGGAGAGTGGCTGAGTCACCACATGAAAGTATTTGAAAGCTGCATCAGAGTGGCACTTGGGGATATGGTTTAGTGGTGGAGTTCACAATTAGTGGTTGCAAATTGATGATCCTAAGGGTCTTTCTAACCTAAATTATTATAGGATTCGATGAACTGCTTAGAAGGAGAGCAGATATACTTTTGGTGTCAATTTACTCAGTAAACTGACTTTCCACTTCTGCATTCCTAGGGCAGCGTATACCTATGAAAGCTTGTCAGAAGTTGTCAGGGTTTATATTTCTGATTTATACCTAAGAAGCAGATCTTTTGTTTTTTTCCAAGGGGACAAGAAAAGAGTTATGCCTCCCTTTTCTATTAACCTTAAATAGTTGATTGAAGCCTCATGTTCTTATAAAAACACAAGAAAAGACAAGAGTTACAAAGACATTTGTGTCTGGATGTGCTTTCTTTTACTGCAACCTTCCCTAACAAGACTGTAAGTCTTAAGCTGTTAGGAGGCTAATGTTAAGCTTAGCAAAGAGGTGTTCAGTAATTTTATTTTCTTAGAAAATATTTTGTAATTGTCATGTCTGATGGTTGTGGTACTATACCTGTGTTCATTTGAAAGAAGAACAATCAGAAGGACAGCAGTAAGAATTTAAAAATGTTTTACCACTTTTCTGATAAAGGGGAGGCAAGACTAAACTGCAAACATCCTTTTTAGGAGCTATCTTGGGGAGGGGATTACCGTTACACAGGAAGGGGTGTGTAGAAGTGCCAGGAAATAGACCCCTAAATCTGGGATTTTTCTAGAACAATATTTCTCATTACATTTGGGGAGATGAAAAGGCCTTTTGATTTTAAGCACGGGACAAAAATAAGCCAGTTGTATTAAAGTGACTTTCTGTTTATGTTTGATTTTACTCTTGGATCTTTTTTTTCTATAATCAGCCATGGAAAAAAATAAAAAATCAAGTCTGTCAGGTACCTAAATTTTTGAAGAACCAGAGAGAAACAGATGGGAGTTTATAAAAAATGAGCTGTCTCTTCCAGAATAGTGAGCTGTGAACTGAGTATGACAAGAAAAGAGGGAAGTTACAGAAAATAATCACACACTTGCAGATGCATACCTGAACAATGTAGTTTGCTAAAGCTCAGGATTGATTCCTTTCCTGAAGACACTGGGAGACCAGAAAGCAGGAGAATTCACAAATGTCCTTCACTTATTTATAAACTACTGACATATGCTCTGATGACATCTTATCTTTACAATAAACTCAATTTTTTTCATTTCTAATAACAACAGTAAAAAACTTTTTTTGCCAATTCTAGTTAGTAAGAAAATTACTACTTCATAATTAATGTAATGCTTTCCTTATTGATGCATGCTTTTCTGTCTCTAGGAGTTGAGTGACGCAGAGGTAACATTAGTCCTTTGCAAATAGTGTAATCAGCATGTGATGGAAGGCACTGACTGTGAAAATATGCAATTGGTATGTTTCTAAGTGCCATATCAAGTCCCACAGCCTGAGCAGGTTAGTGACTGAAACTCTGAAGCTAGGTAGGAGAGATGGAATCTGTGTAAAGCCAAAAATAGTCAGGCTGCTGGAACATAAACTTTAAAACGTTATAAGGAACCTGTCGTCATTTAAAGAGTGGATAGAAAGTGAAACTCTGTATCAGTAAATATATGGGGGAAAAAATAAACAACTGAATATGTGTGCATCAACTGCTGCCATAGTCTCATGGCATTCTGGAAAGAGATTTGTGAACAGCTTTCAGCTCAGTGCTCAGCATAGGACAGAAAGGCACATCTCAGGTTTAGGAGTTATAAAGAAAAAAACTGAAGGCAGTATTGCACCAATGTACCAGGCAATCATGTATCCATAGCTTGAAAGCTGCATGTTGTTCTGCACATAGTTACTGAAAGGATATGTTTAAAGAATATATTTTAAATGGCATGGGTGATCTAGCTGAGGTAAAGAGAAGACTTCCAAAGTTGACCAGAGGTAGGGAGATCCACATCCACGCTGGAAGGCATCATATTGCTGGGGATGTTGAAAGAACTCAAGGAAACCACCTGAAGGCACCAGGCTTGCCTTCTGAGCACGGCTCGCTGTGGGTCTCACAACAGATCACATCACCAAGGCTCTTTTAGCTGCCATCTGCCAGCGTGGACTGCCTCGGGCTCTATAGGCTTAGGACAAGGACAGGTATTAGGGCACAGCATGAGGATGAAGCCTTCAGCTAAAGCATCTCAAAAGAATTGCTGGCCAGAAGCTCAAGAAAAGGGTTTTCCCAGCCTGCTTCCTAGCTGACCTGAAGCCTGTTTTATTGACTTCCTTTGGACGCGGTAGAGTGAACTGAGTGGCTTCTAACAACATGGCAGTTTAGGTTGAGAAAGGGAAAAAGAGAGGCCTGTAAATAGTTTTAAAGAGAATTTTCAAGTCATATGACAAAACCAGGCTACTGTAGCTGAACAATTCTGCAGTGGAGACCAAATTCAATTGACTTAAATTAATTTTTCCTCATTTTGTTCTTACCCAGAATTTAAGAAGACCCAAAATTTAGTTTAAGTGGTTTGATGATTGAGAGATTAGTTTAAATTCATTTTTTCTCATTTTGTTCTTACCCAGAATTTAAGAAGACCCAAAATTTTTGATGATTGAGAGATTAGGTTTTTTTTAAAAACAACATTAATTTATTTTGGTCTTTTCTAAAATAATGCTTTTCTGTTCTGTTATTCCTCATTATAGCTGATACCAATGTGTGTTGGAGATAGAAAAGTGTGAGGCTTCTTCTTCTGCCCCCTTCAACTTTTGAGTAGCTATTTGGCTTTGCAGTACAAAGATTTCCCTTCTTGTTTTTTTTTTTATTTTTCTTTTTCCCCCTTCTCTTTACTGACAAGTTAAAAAAAAAATCCTCAACTAGAAAGTGTTTTTGCATGAATTACACAGAAACTTCTTGAAGTAAAGAAGAAGAGAAGTTTGGAAAATTTTTCCTCCTACACATTTTGTTATGTATGGTTTTGTGCTGTTAAGCCAAAAATAAATCAGTCTCCTATAATACAAATCTTTCTTGCTTTTCTAGGCAGGTTTCAAGATGTAGCTATTTTGCTTGCTTCTAAATTCTGGCTCTGCTAATTAGTCTTGTGTTTTGTTAATTTTTCCCCCCTTAATTTGTATGCATTCAATTGACTTTAATTAAACCTCCCTGACAGACGGCTTCTTCCTTTAGTCCCATAATTTTTTTTTCTTAATCCTGACACATCACAAAAAGTCTGCTTTCATTTACTCTGGCATCAATTCACTGTAATTCCATCAGAGTGACTAGAATTACTTTGAATTTACTGCTTTATAAGCAAGAACAAAATTTGTTCCCATGATTGACAATTACAGACATCTGAATGGAGGTAAAAACTGCAAACCTTTCCAAAATAATGTTCAGTCTTTACTCTTAATGGGTTTCATGTCACCAAGGAATATGCCATGTGATTTTGCCAGTGGCCATGTGGTGGGAAAAGGAATCTAAACGCATGAATGTAAGAATAGGTTATTACTAATGAGCGAGCTTACAAATTAGCATATTCTGACATAATGGAAGCCTAGTACAAGTCAGACTCTGTTTTTAAAAATTACAAGGGATTTTTTTTCTGTGAAGTGAGGGAAAGAGTAGGATTACCTCAAGGATATTTTCAGTGGTTACTTCTAGACATCCCTCTGGTCTGAAACAGTACAGAGTACATTTATCTGAAGTGTGAAATCAAATGTTGCAATTACTTGCTTCTGAGTTGTGTGAAGGCATTTGACAATTAAAACTTTGCAGTGGTTTTTATTTGCCCTTCAGGAGAGGGTTTGTTTTTTTTTCTTTGCTGCAAAAGTTTAAGCAAAAGAAAAGGTGTGCATAATATTTACATTTCTACCAATGTGAAATGTCAGTAGTTCAGGTCCCAAAGGTTAAAATCTTATTTCCTGATCTTTAATGCACTCTCACTGCTGTTCTGCAGAAAAATGGAAAGGAAGAGGAAGAGCAGGATCGCATTTTGAGTCGGCACGCAGACGGAGTAGAGCTGTCCTTTATCACATCTCTGGACATCTACAAAGAAGAGAGAAGAACAAATTAAAAATTAACAATGTAGGTGAAATTCTTTTCTTCCCCTACACCACCAAGAAAAAAAAAAAAGAATTAGCCTTTACACAGACTTTAAAAAAAAAATTTAAAGTGCTGTAAAAGGTCAGGGAGTACTTGAATTATATCCTGACCACAATTTTACAGCAACAAGGATTAGAATGTTTCTCACTGAAGCGTGTTTCTGCCTACTGTGGTGTTTGTTACCATACAACAAGACAGTGCAATTATCATGCTATAAACAGATATTTAATGCCATGGAAGTCACATTGTAAAATTTGTCAGAACTTAGATTCCACAGGTTCTCAGAATTTTAGGTTCCAATTTACCTTGTCATCTCAATGATTTTATCTCAATTATTACTATTTGCACCCCCCCCCCAAAAAAAAAAGCCAGACTCAAGGTCTTCCTCTAGCTGAAACTCTTAATGCTGTTAAGCTACAAAAGGTCGCACTTCATTTAGGCAAGTTTTCATGTGAACTTCTTCAACTTTATTCTGTGATATTTATCTTTTAATTTCATCATTGAAATAGTAATGTTTCTGTCTTCAAATTAATTCTGTATTCTCCCAGTAACTATAAATAATGAGTAATTTCACAAAACTTGCTGTGAATATTGCTAACACTAAATCAAACCATAGACAATCCAAAAATATAGCAACATAATGACTTCTAAAGAAATGTTAATGAGAAAAAATAACTCTCCTGCTTTGTGCAGTACAAATTAAAAGTTTAAAAATCTTGCTATAGATTAAGGGCATGAAAATACACAACTGGCATACATGTCATAGGGCATACAGCTACTTCCATTGAATTTAAATATTAAATGTTGAAAACAGATTAAATGTTGAAAAATGATTTTTTTTTTTAAGTTACAAGTGTTTCATGTTGAAGAAGCATAATAATAATATTAAAAAAAAACCCTGCATAATATGACCAGGTGTTCCAGGGACATTTTCATTGTATGGTAATATGATAATATTTTTTAGGAATATGACTCTTAAACAATGTTTGATGCCCTACTTGTACTGTGAAAATGCTAGAGTAGCTCTTATTTTACCATGTTAAAACATTTATTCTGAGACTAATTTACTAGCTTTAGTGCATGGATTTTTGGAGCTATGGGTTGGAAATAATATGAGAAATGCTTCCTTTACTGTGATTAAAAAATGGGCTGACTCTAAAAACAGTGAGAATTCAGCTGAATAAGAACCAAGAATAGAGAAGACAATGACATCAGTATTTCAAAGGAAACAAAAAGAGAAAGGCTGTGACAAGGCAAATGTATGCAGTTAAGTCTACAGTTATGCAGGTTTTGTCTTTTTAATTTCATAGTGAATAACTTCAAAATCAGAAGTAATCTTAGCTTGCTGAATGCACAATATTGTTTTGGGAGGCTCTTTGTTACTGGATCAGCATTAGCCAGGAGCACAGTAACAGTGAGCATGAATTTTGTTAGTAAATAATGCAAGACAGGTCATGTCCCACATGCTGCTTTTTCGGGAAGGTAGGTGTTTTTTGTTAAAGCTATGAGAGGTGAAAACTAAGAATTTACAGCTTAACACTGAAATCTTGGTTGCATAAAACAGTGGTAAGACACAGACTCGAGACAAACTAATCTAGTGAGAACGGTAGTCAGTTCTGGGGACATATTATATTAGATTAATATTTTGATTTAGATCAGGAGTGCAATTTTAAAGAAAAACAAAATGTTAGTCCTACTAACTATGCTTTCATTCACATAAACTGAATTCCTGTAGATGAAACAAAACCAGGAGAGGTGTGTCAAGTACTGGAACTGTTCAATCCCTAGGACCAGGCTAGAGATAGTCTGAAAGAACCTACTTCTTCCATATGTTCCTATTTACAGTGCTATGTCTTTGTGTATACAAAGCTCTGACCTATCTGTCCAGTAGAGTAATATTGCTCTGCAGTGAGAATTAGTCCAACAGAGGAAGAAATAGTTTACCAGACTCAATCCCCTCTTACTCCATGTAATCTGTAATTTATTAGTCTTCTTCCTGCCTCAACATTCACAAAAGTTATTCCATGAACACCTGTATAAGGAAATGTGAGGCATAGGTTAGAAAAAAAAATAACATTTGTCCTTGCCAGCATATGTTATTATGATTTTTTTTACAAAAACATCAACCATCTAAGGGCTCCCTTGCAAGAAATGTTTCTGTGTAATCAAATAATTGTTTTGTCTCATTTAATGTTTTCTCTCTTTTTCAGAATGTTTTTGTAGATAAACCAGCATTTCCAGAATACAAAGTTTCAGATGCAAAAAAATCCAAATTCATATTGCTGCATTTTAGCACTTTTAAAGCTGGCTGGGACTGGCTTATTTTACTGGCAACGTTTTATGTTGCTGTGACTGTACCTTACAATGTTTCCTTTATTGGCCATGATGAGCTGTCTACAACTCGAAGCACAACTGTCAGTGACATCGCAGTGGAAATTCTCTTCATCATCGGTAAGACTTGTTTGGGATCTCTGGGATCTCTTTTCTGACATTTAGAATTTTCACAGAATGAATAATATTTTAGAAAAGGAAACAATTATCCCTTTTACGACTTTAAAGAAAATCAATTTTAGTTGAATGGCTTGATATTTTATCTGAACTTTAGATCACTTTTTTTTTTTCTTTAAATTTATTTGGGTAGTTCTGCTGTTACTCTAAAGGGACGTTAGATTTCAAGGAGGATTGAAAGCCAATGTTTCAATGGTTTGGGGATGCCTCAAACCTTCCCAATATAGAGATGTGCCCTAGAATTGCTACAATTTTGTTCTCAATCTATGGGGTAATTTTTTTTATTTCACATTTAGAAGAGTCATGGACCACAAGCTGAATAGATTTTTTTAAATATCAATGTAAGATTTAAACTCATACTGCAATAACACACATGTACAATATCAATATGCTATATTGATAACTGGAATAGAATTTGAGGAGTTTGAGTGTGTCATCTGACCCATTCTCTAAACTTTTTATTTCTGTGATCCATTTAATTCTTCTATCTTTTAAGAATCAAAAAGGAGACAAGGTCATATCTAATAATGGCTTTCATGTTTCTATTTTCTTTTTGGTAGTATCTTTTTTCAGTTTATTTCTGAAGATTGAAAAGAATCCCTGAATAGAGTCAGACAGATTTTTCCCCAAGATTTTATTGTTATAATACTACTCAGTGCTGTCACACTGACAAACTAAAGCTCAGATCTGTTGCTACTTGCAGGTGGAGAAGCTATCATTTCTAAGAAATAAGCCAAGTTGGATATGTCTTTCTTGAACATGAAAGGGTTAAGATGGGTTCTGAGAGAGAAAGTGTCTTGGTTTGAAAAAAAACAGGTGTCTGCTAAGGAAGGCAGGAGCCTCTCTTGAAATGGAAAATGTAAACCCCCTCCATGTATATTGTTATAATTTTGAAACTAAAATTCCAAGGCAAAGGCAAAGTTATGGGAATAAGAATAACAATTCTTTATTAGGAAAAATAAAAGTAAAAATAAAATAAACTATGCAGTAATACAAAACAACACTGACAGAGTCAGAATACAACCTGACACCCTGTTGGTCAGGGTGTTGGCAGCAGTCCCATTAAATGGTGGCTGCAGTCCTCCTGGAGTGATAGGTGTGGTTTTCTGGAAGCAGTGACCCTGTAGAAGGGTGTAGTTTTCCTCTGAAGGTCCAGTGGAGTATAGATGGGCCTGGTCTTCCAGGCATCCAGTGGAAAAGGCTGACTGGTGTTCCAAATATCAGATTATATCCACGTAGGAATTCTTGGCTCCTCCCTCTGGGCAGAGGTTCTCACAATGGAATGATGTAGTTTTATCTGTCATGCAGTGAGACTCAATGGCCCATTAACAGAAGAGATCTCCCTGGAGAGAGGATTGGTTGTGGAAGAGATTAAAAAAAACTATTGCACCTGGTTCTAACAGATGGCAACAGAATACATACCTCTGGCCACATCTTGCATTTGCAACCTTAGACAGAAAGCGAGCAAAAAAACAATAAAATAATTTGCAGGTTTGAAGCTTCTTTCCACTTGAATCTTCCTTACGTTTTTGGGAAAAAATACAGTTTAGCTCAAATATTAAAAGCAATATTACAATCTTCTCTAGAAATAAATAAAACCAAAACACTTATAAATATCTCAGAAGATGTTATTATAAAAATTTTGAAAAGTTTATTCCTTTTCTCTGTCAGCTTTACTGTAAACAGTAAGACTGATAGGTGATATGGCTGATGGAAGACTCAAATGTTATCATTAATAAATATTTGTTTCTTCCTTTGATCATTGTTTTGTCATTAGACTTAAGGTCTAAATGTCCATTTTATGTTCACTATTAGACCTTGGTGAACTCTTTCACATTAATGCAAACAATTCATATTCAAAGATTCTCAAGCACTGCAGTAAGCAACTTGCATTCTGCAATGCAGATCATCAAGGATCATCCCTTGTCTTGTGTAAAAAGAGTGAGGTTGTGACTCTAATCACTCATAAATTAATGTTACATTAAGAATACTAAATCAAATAAACCCATTTATGTACCTGGGTGACTTTATAAAAAGAGTAGAATCAAGGTTGCAATATTTTGATAACTGTGTAAATAACTGATTTGTGTTATAAATGTGTTTATTTGAATATAAGCACAAGAGAGTATAATCTTTATCTAACTGATTTATCTGATGTAATATTCATTTGAAGCATGAAAGGTGGTGAACTGCTCAATGGTACTTTTCTGGTTATATATTTTACTGGAAATATGGAGTCTTTCTATCAGTAAGTCAAGAGCAAAGACACGTCTATGATCAATAGAATGGCTGAGTAAGAAAAATAAAGTGAAGATTTTCTGTAAATTTTACTTCTTATTTTCTAGTTAGGTTTTTAGGTCTGCAGTCCAGGAAATCACATTATAGCTGTAACTAGATGCATTCAAAGAAATGTGCATGGAGCACTAGAACAAACTTTGACTAATCATGTTACTGGTAGCCACAAACACTGTACTGTAGGATAACAATATTCCTCCTCCAGAGTTTGAATAACAGCTCAATTTTCCCCAGAATAATTTTCTTTTTCTAGAGTTATTATCTGATTTAAATCTCCAGCTCTGAGGAAAGGTTTATGGAGTATTTTCAGGACATTGTCATACTGCATTTAAATCCCTGCAGTGAATTTAAAGAAAATAGCGTGTTTATGATCATCTCTCAAGGGTCGCTTGTCTGTTAAAATGTTGAATTAATGTGTCTCAGAACATGTATAACTATATTGAAAGTGGTATGATTGACAACATACTTAAATTTAAGCATAAGTTCCCAGGCATTTGTTGCATTGTGTCTCTGACAAGCACATCTTTGATGGATGATCTGTGTGCTCTGAGAAAAGTCAATGAGAAATGTTGAGAGAAATTCTTCTTATGATGCTGCTGCCTCAGAAATGCAGTGGGGAGATCTGTTTGATATAGGATCTTCAGCTGTATTACAGCTTTGTAGTCACAGATTGAGGTATCACAAAATAGTCATGGATTGAAGAAATAGAGTCTATCTACTTTGATTTTATTCATATTTCTGAGAACATGCAGCAATATCCCTTTTATGAACATGGATTGCATAAACACTCATTTGGACTTGGCAAGGTCTTTGTTTTTAGCTGTGTTTTCCAAGACTGACTATATTCTGATGCATATGGTGTGACTCCTGGAGATGGTTTTGTGGATGGCCAGGAAGTGGACTGGAAAAGGAACTGGTGATCCTGGTGGGTCCCTTCCAACTCAGCTTAATCTGTGATTCTGTAATGTGTCAACCTATGCTTAAGCATGATAAAAATACACATGAAAGGGTTCTTCTGACTTGGAGTGCTTACAAGTAAGAGCATTGATATGAATTAAATTATTTATGAGAAAAGCATCTAGCTAGAAGTGTAACTGTTTTAGCCTTTAAAGTTATCTAAAACTCAGACAGGAAATAAACAATAATAACAGCCCCTTTTGTGACATCTTCCAGGAAGAGCATGAAGGGAGAACATAATTAGGTCTTCTCATATGAAACTAAAGTTTTCACTTGATGTTTCCTGTGATAACTTGTGTGATGTACTTCAGTGTACTTCCATTATCTGTTTCCCTTTGTTATGTGGGCAAACCTTCTCTAATATCCTCCTGTAAATAAATCTTTTGCTTCGTCTTACCAAAATAGAGTAGAATTAGTTTAGTTTTAGAATTTTTATATTGTCTTATGTATTCAAAAAACATAGAGAGGTGCAGAAAAAAAGCTTGTTAGCCTTAAAGTATTTTAAAAACTCATAAAAAATAGCTTAAGAAGTGTTTTATCTGGTGAGGGCCATTACTTGCTTTATTGCACTATTTTCTTCAAAGTTTATGCTCCTGTATTTGCATAGACGGTAGCTGGGTCCTTCATTTCTGCATACGTGTGCCTGAGAGTCTGAATGCCAATACTTCTAAGAAGCATAAAGGACCTTGGTTACTTTTCAATAATATTTTTAAGTTTCTGTCTTCTGGAGCAAAAAAAAAAAAGCAGAAGCACCTCTCAGCAAGTTCATTCATTTTAATTAGCAATAACCTCCCAATTTCTTAATTTTACTGTTCCATAACTATCTGGTGCAATGTTATTTCTGCAACAGTTATTCCAGTTTTCAGATATTGCCTTTCTTTATCTGTTTTGTTTTCTTAAAAATGTATTGAACATCTTGATTGAAGAAAGCAGTAATATCTGAAAAATTATCAGTACTTTATTGTCTACTCACAGGACTATTTGAATAGGAGGCCTTCAAAAGGAGTTGAGATCAGTGCAATGGTTCTGTGAAAATATGCACAGGCTTTCTGGGTAATGGTAATGCATTATTTGCTGAATAAGATCAAAAGGGTTTGAGTATTTTTGTATCTAAGATGGCCAGGAACAACTATAGATAGAAGAGCTCAATTTTCTGTTTGTGGATAATTTAGTTTTTAGTGGAAAACAAACACTGGTTACTAATTATGGCTGTAAAATTATACATCTTTTGAACAGACTGGAGAGTTGTTTTAAGTGATTTCCAGCAGTATACTACTTCGGCACCTGCGGGGGAAAAAACCTATACCCATCCCTTCCTTCCTCCAGTCTTCCCATACACACTGACATCTCAAGACTTGATCTATGGTTTACACATTCAAGAGATTTACACTAAGATTTCCTCTATTTGTATGTATATTTCTCTCTGTCCCACTAAATATTATTTAACAAAGTGGTTTACCAGCAATTTATGCTTTTAAAGCAGTATGTTAACAGTACTAAAACTCTGATTTGTGTGGCATGACACTATAGACTAAGGAGACTTGTGTGGCCATTACCATCTATCACAAATGTAAATGACTCAAAATCTTTCAAAAACTGTTTTAAATCATATGAAGTCCTTGTATCTTACACATTTAATATGTAGAGACTTCAAATTATGGTATAAACCTTGTAGAAATTAATATAATAAT